CGTGTAGTGAAGACGAAGGAGTTGCATATCCGTCATCGGTTCGACCTCGAAATTAATGCTCCGTTTTGCCTTCGACTTCGCTGCCGACACGTTGCGATTAATCTTCGTTCGTCCTCTCTTGGGGTGCGGAGGGATTACGCGTCCCAATCTGCTTTTGTTCGATGCGCTTCTGCTTGGCATGCTTCGACTCGGAATGTTGTGGCTACCATTAACTGAAGTTGGTAGTTCAGCCATTGTCCCCACATATCCGTCCGGATGAACCGAAGACGACACGATCGGAGTGCAGATACGAGTCGGTTCATTGATCTTCTGCAATGCGCCCTTCACAACCGCCAGATCATACTTTAGTAGCTTCAAGTTGTTGACCTCCTTCTGCACTTCCGATACCATCCTTTCTACTTTATCTTCCGCCTCTGCATTCTTCTGACCGGTTGCGCTTGGACCAGCTTGATTCTGTCCTCATTGGTTCATCTCTGTCGGCTTCAGTGCTTCATCAATGATGGACTTGAGCGCGTCCGGAATTAGCTCAGGCTTCTTTGCGGTGTCTTCCTTGTTCGGAGAAGCTGACTGCGTTTCACTTGTCTTTTGTGTGAGTTGCTCCAGTGTCTTTAGAACTTTGTCCATCTCCCGATGGAGCTTAAAAATTTATTCCTTTAGATCCGCCGTAAACCATGCTCGATTTTCCGATGGGGGGAAATAATTCCGCCTTTGCTCCCACAATGGTCTCAAGAACCACCTTGGAGATTCTGACTCCGCCCTTCTTCTCCGTGACGATGGTGATCTTGACTTATGTCTTCTATCTGTCGGAAGTTTCAATCTCCCCCTTCTTGAGCGCTTCCTCCCTTGAGATCCGGAAGATGATGATGAGTGTCTGCGCCGCCTCCTGTCTGATGATGATCGCGAACGCGACATCTTCCTTGAAGTTTGGGAACGTCAGGTAGGTAGTCTTCGTACGTGAAATTGATAAAAGACCCCACAACGCCGTTGATCGTCTTCAGTACACACCAGATAAGTAAAATAGAATCTCCAAAAATCGCTGAGTAATCTTCACGCTATAGTAATCTCCAACAAATCGCCACTATGATATCATGAAAGAAAAGGGTTACCAATGATGAGAGAGAGATAAAGACAGTGAATGTAAAATGGAAGAGTGACAAGTTTATACAGTGTCAATCATTGCGGGTACCGCCCGCAAGTTCTAAGCACCGTGCATAAAGATAAACACATGCGAATGTAGACATAACGTTTGAGGTTTTACTTTCACAACATATATATGCAAATGTAGACAGAACGTGCGAGGTTTTACTTTCACAGTATACACGTAATGTCCATGGCATGCGACACCAGTCACGATTACCCTTCTACCTTACTGCTTAGGTAATCATTTCAACCACTACCCTTCGTTCTAAGTCCTTCTCCGCCACTTTCCCTATCCTTGCAGTGTCCTCCTCATCTATCCTCAGGATCTCCCGTAGTCGTTCTCTGTGTTGTCCTTGTCATCGTCGATTTCCAACATGCCTTCAATCTGGAGCTATTTTCATCATATCTAATGATTCTGTGCGTGTTACTCACGTACTCTCCTCTCTGTCGGAGTTCCGTCTTACTGTGGTACTTGCCTATAACTCCACTGTTTTTTTATACTGACTCGAATCTGGCCTTGTTTGTTGTTCTGTTCTTGTTTGCTTTCATGGCCGTGGATTCATTTCCAGGTGAGTACTTTTTATTTATTGGTTCGTTTCCACTGCTTTAGGTCTTTCATCTTCTATCTGTTTCGTATGTTTGGAAATGTGAGCGACACTGTTACGTCATTATATCTCCAGAAATTCCGTGATATTCCGGAGTACTTAGTCGTGTATGTTTTTTTTTCGTCCGGACTTTCAGTTTTATATCCGTCGATTTGGTGCTTCTTGCTTTTCAAGGCACTTCTGGAAATTATTTCGGACATCCACGTCCCTGCAGTTTCGGATGAACGCAAGTATCGTGGCACGGGTTATCCTCCATGGGTAATCCATGAGTCGGAGTTCCCGTCCGAACAGGTCAATCACGGGCGGTAGATCCGCCATCTCAAATGTGTTAGCTACCATTCGATGAAAAGTTTCGATAATCGTCAAGGTTTTGGTTCTCTCAGAACCCGCA